TAGACAAATATTCCAAGAGATGGTATTTATGATATTATAAACACAGTAGCTGTGTTTTATATACTAAGTTCTTTTATGAACGATTTGCAAAATATTATAAACGAACATTGTGTCAGCGGATAGTCTGAAGTCGCATAATCTCTGTTGCTTAGACGACGGCATGAAATTGATTCGTTAAATCCCCTATTTAATCCGAAAAGAACGATAAGGACGAAAGGTTAAGCACGGTCTGTAAAGATTTCGATCCGCCATTGAGCCATGAGGTTGACAGGGAAGTTTCCAGCGTAAAACAATCTGATTATTGACTTTTGATTAAATTAAATTATACATTTCTGTTTAGCTATAATTATATATTTATAAATAATTTAGCCTGTTGTGTAAGTTTAGGGTTAAATGGTTTTCTTTTGCATTGGCAGTACGTTTTGATTTGATCCGAACCGGTGAAACCTGCGATTCGCAACACTCCTTCCAATCCAAAATCGAACTCGTTTTAATCAAGCGGAAACCAAACGGAAGGGTGGATATCAATTAACGGGATTCAATTTCGCCCTTGATCAATCGAAAACCTTCGACAAGGGTCTGGGGACACCGTCACCCGGGGGAATCGTGAAAGGAACGGGGCTGCGTACCATGGGCGTCCTCCCCTTCGTGTTGCCTCCGAGGGCGGCGTTTTTCTTTATTAATTTCCTCATGCCAAGAAAACAAGTCTATATATTGGAAATTAGCATTATCCGTCAGGCTGAACAGGACCGGCTCAATTTTCTTCCTCTTCCCTTATCGATCCGACTTTTAATAAAAGTTTTAATCCCTTTCTTTTTTCTCATTTTCTCCGCTCTTTAATCTCACCTTTGTTTTATAATTAGTACGAATTCATCCGGCTAGGATTATAAATTAATTGTGCCGGATTAGACAGAATTTCTGAATAATGGGCTTTATTTGCCAAAGGGAAAATATTGAAGTTAGCCAAATTATCATGTGAAAAGTCTTCGACTTGCTGTTTTTAAAAAAAATCACAAGCTGGTTATCTTTCTCCTTGAAAATAAAGAGGTGGGGATAAAGTGTCAACGATATTACCCATAACTAAAGACCGGAAATTCGCGTAGTTAAAGAAACAAAAATAATCCAGTGAAAAACTCAAAATCTGTAAGAAATAGACTGTAAATCAGAGTAAATTGTAAACCACCATTTTTTTACACCGATGTAAAATAAATCGGAATTAATAGCCAAATAAAATATGAGACTAAGTGAAAATGATAGTATTCAACTAACAATTTTTCTTTTTTTCTAAAGTCATACAACCTACGTGTCTCATCCAACTTAATTTCAATCCTAAGTTTTAATATTCTTGTGTTGTTTCATACATGGTGTCGTTTGTTTTAATTTTTCATAATAGGAGCAGAAGTAAACTGTAAATCAGAATAAACTGTAAACCAACATTTTTTTACACCGATGTAAAATAACTCAAAATTAATAACCAAATAAAAGGTGAGAATAAGTGAAAATGATATTATTCAACTAACAATTCTTGTCTGTTTTTAGTCATACAATCTAGGCGTCTCATCCATCATAATTTCCATCCTAGGTTTTACTGTTCTTGTGCTGTTCGTTCATGGTGTCAATTGCATGTTTTAATTTTTCATAATAGAAATCGGAGTGCGCCAAGGCTGCTTACTTAGCCCACTCTCATTTTCCTTGGATGTAGATGATATTCTTGCCGCTCTTGAGGGTTTACTATTTTGACGATGTATCGCATGAACATGGTCTCCTACTAATAAATGTACGGGGTTTTCTTCAGTATTAAATAGATTTGGAACCTAGTCAAATATGGCCAATATTAGTATAAAGATGGATAAATCAGTAGGGTAACATTTAATGTTACTAATAAATCGATGAACTAACCTTCGTCGGATTTTCTGAAATATTTCAGGCTACACGGGCCAAACTGTTTACTGTTGATAAGACCGCTGAGTTTTTCAGTTTTTAGTGGATTTTGAATGTAGTCAAATATGGAAAACATTAGGTTAAAGGTGATTAAGGGGGGGATTTAAATTCACCTACGAATTTTCTGCAAAAACCCGCGTGCTTATCAACATGATGAAGGAGATTGAAAATTACTAAAAAATAAACGAGTTCGTTAAACTGTAAATTAATTCAAAAAGAAAGGGCTGCACTGAAGGGAGGAAGTGTGCTTCGTTGAACATGATGCAACAGTGTAATAATTTATCACTACATTTTATCTCCGTCCAGTTACTTTCACATGTCCTCGGAGGTTCGTCCTTCTAGGAAACGATTCCTTTGAAAAGGTACTGCACCCGGCTTACCGTAATTAATTACCGATTGTGGAAAGAGAAACTCAACTTTAATAATATTTTCATATAAGTAGAATTGACGATTTGTCAGCCCCTAAATTTAGTTTTAAGAGAAAATTTGACCCGAATTATGCAAAATTTAATCCAAGTTAGGCAATACATGGCCTATAAATTATCACAAAGCACCCTAGTTTTTTTGGATGTAAAGGAATGCCGTTTGGCTCGGTGCTCTATCGTTGAAGGGTTGCAAATTTAGCAAATGTTGGCATAGAATTTAAAAGCTGTCTGTGGCAACGGTCATTCTTGACCTTGCACTGATCAATTTAAAACCGATTACCTCGTAAGAATACGGATTTAGGGCAATTTTTTTACCCTATCATGTAAATTCACGAATTTGTATTCAACAAAATCGAAATGTTAAGGTATTCAGAAAAATTAAATAATCGTTTGTTCATTTGTTTCTTTGTATCTTAAGCTTAGAGCGATTTCTAATACTCCTCCATTAAATATGGAAAAGGTGTTGCGTGGGAGAAAAGTTTATCAAGGATTTAAAGCAGCTTTCTTTGCATTGAGATGCTTTTACATATTTTATACGGGGAAAAAAATCCGAAATTATCCTTTTTACCTTAAACTGAAAAGTTTTTCGTGGGCGTTTGTTTGCCCGGAATTTAAATAGGGCTTAATGTTGTGTAAACTCAGGTCTTAAGGGGCGACTGAGATGTCAGATGATGAAATGTCTCTCCTAAATAAACCGAACTGCGCGCCCCCTTTTTCTAAACCTTCTCAACATTTCAAGTGGGTAAGCCGACCCTTGAGAAACACCGGGGTTTAACATTTGAAGTGAGATGGCCCACGTCGGGTGGATAAAAAAGAAGGTGAAAATACAAGACCAGAAGAGAAGGCGGGATCGCCCTTTGACAGTCGATCGGCCAAACTAAATGTGCCACTGGCTGAGGGATAGATAACGTGACTCACTGAGAATAAAAATAACGCAAGAGAACTAGATTTCGATCTGTTCTTCTTGTTTCTATATGAAGCGGCGAGTCCTTGAAGTTGCCCTCCAAATCTACCTCATTACGCTAAGCCCTTTTGAATTGATGACTTAATATGCGTAATGTGCGTTAAAGTAGGATTGATGGTTGTGCCGATTTTTACTGTAAAGGCCTGAAATAATTTTCTAACCTTTTCTTCCGGGGGACCGCGGTAGCCGAGTGGTTAGCATGAGAGACTCTCACGCCGCGGTCGTGGGTTCGATTCCCACCGTCGCCTCTGGCCCTTTTTTCCCGATAACCCCCAATTTGAACACACAAAAATTCGTACCATGGCTAATATGGTAGGCTAATTAAAAAAAAAAAAATTCAGAAAGAAGATTCAGGGTTCGGTGCTTTACTGTTTTTCGCTAGAAAGAGTACAATATTTGGTTTTTGTAGGTGTCATCGTGAGAACTGCTCTTTCTGCACTAGAAGAATAGAAAGCTGAATTTCTTTTAAGAGCAAAGATACTCACATAGGAAAATCTATAATTTGAAATTTTGTCAGATTAGCTTTAGACGCAGGCAGCTTATGGTAGTAAAAGGGAAGAAATGATTTTACAAAAAAATACAGGTACAATAGTTTTCATAATTTAGGGGATGCTCTCCTGCACTGACCATTCTAATACATACTACTTGACCAAACGGCAGTATTCTGAGTCCAGTGTTTTGGCTGGTACTAAGAAGATATTTTTGTCTTTCCTATGCATTAATTAAGTCCCTTACGGCTCTCTAGCGTGAACTGGCGGTTTTATGGATTAAGTGCTTGGAAATAGTTTGCCTTTTATTCATTTTAAGCGGGCCATTTAATTCAGAGTCTTATCATAGATATGTTGCGCTTGTCTACAGGTTTTGCACTTTCTTTTGAAACATTGCAAAACATCTGCTCTTCGAAGTTAGTTTCTCATGAGATAACTAAGTCAATTGGTGTGAAAAATTGAACTTCATCGTCAAGTTTATTGCAAACATGGGCAGAGCCCAGTTAAAATCTGTAACGTGTGAAAAAAGCGCCACTATTATATGGAAATTATAGACAATTTTGTACCGTGTTAAATTGTGTAATCCGTTCAAGTTGTAGCTTGTTGTTTAGTTATATATCTTTAGAAATCAGTTTCGAAATGTTCAGATCGTGCTTTAATTGTTTATTGCCGGATTAAAACAATAAACCATCCATCTTCTATGTACTCAGACTGTTTTTCGTTAATTTTTATTTACGGCCGAGATTTAATACGTCGGCTTAAAGGCATTTAATTTGTTTATGGAAATGGGACGCGTGGGGGTCCGCCTGTGTCAACATTGATTCATAACTGCTTTCGCCGTGGGTTGCTCATTTCTTCAACGAAAATAACCCTTGCGATCTACATTGAAATCAGAATTTGTTGTATTTCTTGTGAAATGGATTCTTGGTTGGACGGAGTTTTATTGGAGGAAGTGACTTGATGGGAAAATTAGTTTAAACAAGCCACAATTACATTTCTCTCTTTGTAATTTATTTACGCCCAGAAATGCGGGTTATCGTTAACATCGTGTTAGCTTATGATGTGGGACGTTACAATAACCCTTTGTTTCTTCCTGTTCTCCCGATTGACCCCATGTTATTTAAAACGAGCTTTGTTTCTCGGTACCAAGAGGCCTAATGAATGCCGATTTGAATCATTTAGTTCGAAAAGGTAACGGTCTCGTTGTGTTGGGTTGCCTTTTCGTCCTAAACGATTCCGTACTGTTTCAGGAGAAGCTAGAAGCCAGGATCACCGAACTGGAAGCCCAGCTGGAAGAAGAGAAAAAGACGACCCTCAAGGAACGGAGGAACACGGCAAGATTCCAAGCGCTCATTGAAGATGTGAGTTTTCCGTAATGTTTTAAAATTATTGAGAACAGTTGGCATTAATCAATCAAAACACTTACCTTTCACAAGCTCTTACGTGAGGTTTAAATTTTTTTACAGTGTGTATTATGAATCTTTTTAGTGTTCTAATATAAACTTATATCACTTCATACGATACCGTACTAAAAATAATCTGGAACGGGTCCAACGGAATCATGCTATGACTAGCTTAAAGAGAATCATCAATCGCAATCATAAAATCAAGCTCAGGAGACAGTCTGATAGTCTCTTGATTAGACCATAAATCTTCTTTCATTCATTCACCCCCTTTAAGTTTTTCGAATTAGTTGTCAACAGTCGAGATAAAGATGAGGTGAAACAGATTCAATATTCCCATTCGGAGGGTGTTAAAAGAAAGGAAACCACAGAGCACTTGTACTATGATTTACGACGACGATTGCAATCTTTATTTGCTTATGAGGTGGAGAAACTGGCTCGTATCCACTCGAGTTAAACGAGAAACATCTTTTTGAAATAAAGACCTTTTCGCCACTTGCAATAAACACTTGATTGTGATATCTCAAACGAAGAACCTATTTGAAGAACCTAATCTGCATGAAAACATTATTGAAAAATATCAAATATGATATTTTCAATAGTTAACAAAAAGTTCTCATTAGATAACCCCCTAACTATAAAAACTTTTTTGATTACAAGTTTTGATTATAATGTCTTTACAGACTGACACGGATTCCAGTGGGAATCATGCTAAGTTCAGCGATTTTATGCCGCTTCGAGGTCGTTTCACAATAGGCTTTGATTAGTCAGTGTTTCTAGTGTTCCTTTTCGGAAAAGTAGGCAGGTCTTTGTTTTACTAGAATCTCATCATAGAATTATTAAAAATAGATAGTCCAGTATATATATTTTAAAAAAATTGCGTGAGAGATAACAAGAAGCACCAACGCGTAGAGGGCAATTATCTCTGACTTTTTAGTTATTATTATTATTTTTTATTCATTTTATTTTACGAGGGTTCGCACAATAGAAGTTATATCAGCCCTCGGGGTGCAGGTGTTTTGGAAAAAAAGCACATTTGTAAGTATGTCGGGTTCGAATGCAGGGCCGCTGGATTCGAACCCGGGACCTTTACTTTAGAGTGATGAGCGCCGTGTCAACGCCTAAACCGTTGCGGCCACCGAGGCCCCAATTATTATTATTATTATTATACTGTATACACCAAGTAACGTGAATTCTATAATGTTAGGTATTTTTTAAAAAAATGCTTTCAGACCGAAAAAAATCGTGTAATAGAAAAGATAGGTCAAATAAATTAGTCGATTTAGTTCTGCTATCTTTTGGATTTAATTCATAATATTTTGAGCTACTTCAAGTCTTAAGAATAACTATAACTATAAAGGTAAAACTAAACTGGCATAATCTCTCTCGTTTTGTCTATCCCACCCTCAGGCATCTCGCCATATTCAGAAGTCTGCCATTTTATCGACAATGTCCTTTTTGTTCGTTCGGCACAATGTGGCTCATCCATTTTATTATTTTACCCGTCAATAAGACATAAAAATAGAATATACCACAACGAACTGACCTTTTCTTGCCTTGTTTGCTTGCATGTAGTGATGTTACAAAAGGGCACGATTAACAATAAAACACGAAGACCAAATATTAAAGTCATCGAAGTGACAAATTGATTGGCAGATTTTTTATAAGTTTTGTACATGGATTATGAATGGTTTTGCACACTGACAGAGACCCGGTGACTAAACATTTTTGATATATTTCCTGATGGAACAACTTGAGCATAATTCGAAGCATAATACGCATCTATTTATGGTATCGATTATAAAAAGGGCTTGTGATTACATTAAAAAAATCAAAACTGGCAGTCTGGTAGTTATTGAAAACGGAGTTGGGCAAGGGTACGCCCTATCAACCACACTTTTTAACTGACTGCGAAAATCTTCCGATACGGCTGGTTATTGAATCGAACCGGAAGAACGGACAAGTATCTTTCAAAATTCAGACAATGACCCATAACTGCTGGCTATTTAAAGGAAAGGCCCTCTGTATTGCAAGTAATGGGTTAAAGTATCAAGTCATTGGTTGCAGTTGGCCAAAGGACAACAATTATAAATGTTTCGATGTTTCTTTAAAAGGAGGTTTATGAGAATATGAATATTTTACTTGGTGCACCCTATGAAGAAGGAAATTAGGGGATACAGCATGATCAAGAAATAAATGTGTAGCTGGAATACGACGCTTTCTTACGTCGCCTACACTGGCAAGTTAGAATGAATGAGTAGAAAATCTCCAAGCAAGCACGGAAGGCAAAATTGAATAAAAGGTAACAGGGTAGACTCGGTAGACTGGTCATCAAGAAAATAAGTGTTTATTGTTTAAAAGAAGTCTTAGGAAAGAAAAACCTGGAATAGCATTGTAAAGGAGGCCTAAGGGAAAGAGATATAAAATATCAATGTACCCAGAAAAACCAAGGTGTTTCTGAAAACGATAAAAGAAGGAAACGGGTGAAAAAGACGGGGCTGGTCATCACAAGAAGTGTTCATTGTTTAAAAGAAGTCTTAGAACGGAAAAATCTGGAAAAGCGTTGTAAGGGAGGCCTTAGGGAATGTAGGTGTAAAGAGATATAAAATGTTGATAGACGTTCACTGAACAACCAAGGTGCTCAAACGCTTCTAAAAGACGATTAAAGGGCAAAAGAAGGGTGAACTATGAACTTGTCATCATAGATGGCATTAAGATAATGGTTGTACATTGTATTAGGAAATTGAAACCTGGAAAACCATGGCGAGTGAAGCCAATGAGCTAAGTCTGACCAGAGATAAAATGGTGTATGAAATGTAGCGCGATGGACACTACTGAAGGTGCCGAAACGCTTCTGAAAGATGATACCTTCGAGCTAGATACTGTTGGACGGCCATTCTACAGGTTCATCACCGCGACGTTTCATATCAGAAAAAATGCCTAATTGAGAACTGTACAGTTCTAATATTCCAATTAACCTGAGATATTTATAGAACAAAAAATTCTCCAACCACCAAGTTGTAGGATGAATTATGATGTTGGATTATCGTCTCGGGTATCTTCCGAATTCTAATCCAGGCGATTATAAACGTTGCTGTCATCTCGTCTTCCACTTGTTAACCATGGGGGTTTCGTAGGTTTCGGCCGTAAACCTCACGCGGCGAGCGTAGCTAATTTATTCCAAACGTGTTTTTTTATAATTAACGGTCCTTCGGGTTAAGGTGCACGTACCATTTTTTCCTACGTTTTTAATCGGGCCAATTTCCCAGGACGCCGGCGAAGACTCGAACGCTCGGGTTGGTGCAATTTTCTGCAACTGCCTCAATTATTGCGATAACGAATCCAACAAAGCGAAACCAGTACGCCGTTAAAAGAATAAAGAGAAGAACTGTATATTTTTACGAAATTTCCTGGCTGGGGCCATGGGAAATGTAAATATTCCCAGTTCCCTTTATTGATTGACAGAGATTGCAGGCTTATTATACTTTCATGAAAATCCATTTGACGTAAAAATTAAAAAACTTTGTTTTCCTATTTCGTTTATGGAATATTTTATTTTAATTATTGCTGAAAAAATTATACCAAATCGCTTTGCAGTGTTTGACCAATTGCCAATCATTTGATCCTCTTTAAAACAGCCATTCGTCATTTATAAACCAACATTCACATTACCCTACACGTCGTATTTCACCTGAATTTCCACACGATTTAAAATTGATAGTTTATTAAATTCGTTAGATTTCGTGGTCCGATTGACCAAATAACATTTTTCAATTAATTAATCTTTATGTAAGCTATTGGTTGAGATTTAAAAAAAAAGGGGAAAATTCAAAAGGTGGAGTTGAGATGGGAAGTTGGTGTCCGAGTGGATCGAAGTCACGATAGCTCAAGTGGTAGAGCAGCGGCGTATTTAGCCGAAGGACTGGAGTTCGAATCCCGCTCGTTACATTAACTTTTTTCTCAATCAAAACCTTAATTAACGATTAATTAATTGAAAAGAATTTATTTGGTCAATCGGACCACAAAACCTAATAGTTGTAATTGGAAAAAATATATGCGNGAGAAGCGGCGTATTTAGCCGAAGGTCGTGGGTTCGAATCCCGCTCGTGACACTGACTTTTTTATCTCAACCAATACCTTACATAAAGATTAATTAATTGAAATTGATGGTTTACTTAAACGACGTTTAGACATAATTTCATGATGAAGATGCACAATTGTGACAGATTTTGTAAAAAGAATATATAAACATATCCTCGCAAACGTGATTGAAATCTGAAACATGTTTTTACTTAATAGCGAGGCTAATTATAACATTTATCAATTAATTTAAGGAATTGGTTTCCTCTTTGAAACACGTTTTGATGTATTGTTATCGAAAAATATGATACTTTTATCACAACGTTAGCGATAAAAAATCAAATGTTTCAGGGAATTGTTTGTCACGTTTGTACTGTAATTAATAATTTATGCATTTTTAATGTCCCTAGCTCGCATACCGACCTAATGTTTCTTTTATGTTTTTTCAGCTGATTTAAACCAACATACAATTATGCGTACGTTTTTCTTCCCAGGAGAGGCGGAGTTTCATGCATATTTATGAAAAAGTATCTTTCGCCTGCACAACCGAGGGATTTCTCCTTTTCCCAGGATTAGCGGAAAGGATAAAATCCCCGACGGGAAATTAAAGAGGTGCGGTTTTTGAGCTTCCGCAGGATCGCTCCTCTTCCCGGTTATCACCCTCGTCAGCTGAAAATTCCGTTGGACACTGTTTCAGACAATTATTCACCCCTTGGCCTAATCCTAATTTATTCCGGGTACTGTTGGATTACGAGGGTAAAGTTTTACGATTCAAGCAGTTCGTTTTATATGCTGATCAGTTTTACCTGTCTCACGACTGGTAATTTAGACCTACAATTTAATAAAAAAACTGCGTTTTATTTTCATCTTCTATTGGC